TCTTTCTTTCTTTCTTTCTTTCTTTCTTTCTTTCTTTCTTTCTTTCTTTCTTTCTTTCTTTCTTTTTCTTTCCCTCCCTCCCTCTCTCCTTTCCTTCCTTCTTTCCTTTCTAGCTTCCTTCTTTCTTTCCTCTCTTCCTTCCTTCCTTCCAAAATTATGATTTCTAGGTAGTTACATGTCTAATACTGAAATGGCTACTCAATACTGGGCCTTCCAGTTTCCACTTTCCCCCCTCCCACAGCCCCCCCATTGCCAAAAGTCAAGGAAAAATCTTTATTCTATTCATTGCAAAATAAAGAGGTCATCAATACAGAAGGATCTCTTCTCACCATGGCACCCTGCAATGAAGGGTCTATTAGGGCATTGATATCTATGCTTATCCCTTAGGGGAAGCCCCTAAATTGATGCTTGGTTAAAGGACTTTATGCCTCTCTAGATATTTCCAGATCAAGGGGAATACTTTATCAGAAGCACTCATTGAAAATAGCAGCCTTTTCCCTGTATATAAAGAAGGGAAAGTGTTATAGATTTAAATTTTGCTAAAAACCAATTAACTCAGAAGCTGTCACAGGAGCAGTCTCTAGATGATCTTAACCTGCAAAGCTGATGGTAGTTATATGTCAATGCCAAGCAAAGGAAAGGAAAAGAAAAATTCATATAATACAGATCCAGTAAATACCCAAGAGATAGGAAGGAAGGAAGGGCAAAATTGGAAAAAAAAAAAAGACCGAAAGGAAAGCTTAAGGAAAGACCAGAGAGTTGCATGATACAGTAGAAAAATCAATGTAGGGATTGTTTCCTTCTCCGTATTTGTATTCCAAGTGCCTAAAACAGTGCCTAGCACTCCTTAGACATTTATTTAATGCTTATTGGTTACTGGATTGACTTAGGTTCAAATCTCATCTCTGATACTTACAACCTGTATAATCTTTGGAAATGTCACTTTGTCAGACATCATTGTCTTCATATATAAAGTGAAGAGGTTTGATGAAATAATTACAACTTGCATTTTCATAGCACTTTAGTGATTTATAGACATTTATAGACAAAATTATTTATAGACATCATTGTATTTGATCTTCACAACAACCCTGTAAGTTAAGTGCTATTGTTATCCCCATTGGGAGACAGAGAATCTGGGTTCCAATCTCATCTCTGTCACAAGACTAGAAGTAAGGAAATAGGTTCAAATTGTGACTTTGATGCTTGCTAATCATGTGTCCTTTATCAAGTCACTTCAGCTATCAGGGCCTCAGTTTCCTCATCTATAAAATGGGAGAGTTAGTCATCATCCACTCATAGACCCCAGGTTAAGAAATCCTGCCCTGGACACATAGATATTAAACGATTTATCCAAGCTTACATGGCTACTCATGGGCAGCTAGGTGGTGCAGCAGATAGAGTACTGGGCCTTGAATCAGGAAAACTCATATTTTTGAGTTCAAATCTAGCCTGAGATACTAACTAGCTATGTGTCCAAAAATTGTAGGATTTTTGACAATTATTTTCATTTCTACCAAAGAGATATTTTTGGGCATGTGGGACAAACCACACAAGCTCTAATGCCTGTCTTATGTCAGAAAACTCCAGAGGAATTTATTTAAATCTAGTATTTGCAAGAAATGGAAGAGATGTCACAGATTCCTTTAGGAAATCACTAGAAATGCACGTAGGTGCCCCTAAACCCAGCATGGACTACAAAAGTCCTGTAAGTATTAATGTAATAAGACTAGAAAGATTCAGGATTCCTGCTGAACCCAATAGACAGCTGGGGCAGAGAACTGTGAAGAGAAAAATAAAATCTTGTATTTTCTCATAGAAAATGGTGTTGATCTTGAGGCAATATTGGTGTAATCATGATCCATTCCAAGGGTCTTGTACTAGATACTTAGTAGGAGATCCAGACCCCAGTGCTTCAATCAAGTTATTAAGCTGACCTCAGGGAATTTACACTCTGGTTAAATCACATTTGATATATGAAGGAATTATTTAAGGCCTTCCAGAACCACAGGATGTTGTGAGAGACCAGAAACAGGAATGTGAATAAGGAGTTGCATTTGCTTCCAGATCAGGAGAATGTAATGTTTCTAGAAGGAAGCATCTCCTTTCTATGGAGAAGAATAATGTGCACAGAATGTTTTTTGTATTGGACAGAATAAATTAAATAGAATAATTGACTTGAGTTCAAATCTAGCCTCAGACACTTACTAGTTGTGTGACCCTGGACAAGTCATTTAGCCCCAATTGCCTGCCCCCCCCCCAAAAAAAAACAAAAAGGAAAAAGACCTTGGTTGGATATAACCTACAGAGAAAAATTTCTGAGCACAGGATTTACTTTTTATTAAGATAGTCAATTAGAATCTGGAAAAGAATCAGATTTTTACCTATTTAAATTTAATGAATTGAGGCAGTGATTCATAGCAATTAAGAAACTGACCTTTCAGTCAGGACTATCTGGGTTCAAGTCTTGCCTTTGATATATATTGGTTTTCTGCCCATAAGCAAGTCACTTAATATCCCAAGGATACCGCTCAGTTGCAAAGTGAGTGTCATTTATTTTGAGAAAAAGAGTTGCCTTGCAGGGACTTCCCTATACTAATAAAAGCACAGGTCTGTTCCAAAGAAAAGAAAAAGGGGAAAGAATTATAGCATCATCCTTAGCTAAAATTGTAAGCCAAGCTTTTTAGAAAGAAAGGGATAGGGAGAGAGAGCAGAAGAGAGAAAAAGAGTTTTATTTACATCCAACATCCTTCCTTGCTTTCCATCACCTTTAACTGGAGCAAATTGATTGGCATTGCTTCTCAAGGCAATTTATTATTAAATTTTAAGGATTCTTCATTCAGAGGAACAGAGAATGGCTCTGGAAGCATGTTGTACTTAATATAGTAATAAAGACTTTTGGAAGCAACAGTATTTCCAAAATGCATATTATTCTATGCCTTTGAAGAGGTAGAATTGAGCCAGTGGAATATATGTTGTACTGATCCCTTCTTAGTGAATGGGAAAGAGTCATTTTATTGTATATGGTAAGTTAGTCTGCAGCAATCAAGTATCTGAGACCCTGGGACCATGATGGGTTGGCCAAGTAGGTTTTTCTTTCAATGCTTCTAGTCCTAGGGTGAACATTTTGAGTAGACCTTGGTCAAATGAATAAAGTGGGGTAACTGATGCAAAGTCCCATGTCTGATAAAGATGAGGATGCCACAGATAAGATAATAATATCTTACCTTGTAATCTCTTGCTTTTAACTTCTTCACTTTTTTAAACTTATTTCACTTTTGTCATCACTTTGATCCTTGCAATAACCCTTGAAGCAAGTAAACATATTTTTAAATTCCTATTTGACAAATGAGGAAACTGAGGCATAGAGAGACCATACCAATAATGGTAGAGTTGGGACTGGTGTCAAGTTCTTCTGACTTTCCGGCTCAGTCCATTTTGACTAGACCATACTTCCTCTCTAAAACATACAGACGGTTCCATACCCATTTCTTTGACTATGCCATTGAGTCATGTTCTCGCTATGCCTGAGTATTCCTCTGTATCGTCCAGTCCTTTCTTAGTTTTTTTTGCTACTGTATTTGCACAAATGGCATTTATACAATGTGTCGTAGACCAGATTAATCCTCTCTGGCTTTAAGAGATATTATACCAGCAGCATAATGTGCGGGATAAAGGGCTCACATTAGAGTCAGAAGGACCTAGGTCCAAGTCCTGCTTCTAACCCATATTGATATTGTAACTAAGGCCAAGTTACTTAATTTCTAAGTATCCTAGGCAACTCTCTAAGGTAGGAATTCTTAATATTTTTTTAATGGGTCATGGCCTATTATGGTAGTTTGGTGAAGCCTACAGATGCCTTCTCAGAATAGTGATTTTAAATGCCTAAAAGAAAATTTATGGGATTACAAAGGAAAACAATAATATTGAAACATATTTATTAAAATGTCAAAAAGGAAAATAAAAGCAGTTCACAAACCCCAGGTTTTGAACCCCTGCTCTAAGACTAAAACTGCAGATAGTTACTAATCTACATTGATGGAGGAAAATTCTACCCTCAGAACTCCCTAGACCAATGAAATTGAAGGTTGGTATTAAAATCTTGCCTGGAACGCACTTTCTCCTCATTACCCTGTTAGAATCCTTTGCTTCCTTCAGGACTAATGTGCTTTCTAGTCCCTGAAGCCTTCCCTGATCCCTCTAGCTCAAAGTATTCTCTCTGTCCTTAAGGTTTCCAGGTTCACTTTATTCAAATTTCTCTTTTCTTTTCGTTACACTTTATGTATTATGTGTGTACATGTTTTCTCTACCCTTCCCCAAAGCCCCTTTCTCCTTATAGAAAGCTGTAAGTTCTGAAAGGACAGGAAGGACCAACTGGAAGGACCAGTCTTTGAACCCTCATGGCATAGCACATTGCAAATAATCATAGTTTTAATACTTACATTTATAATAATACTTTAAGGTCCACAAAACCTTAAAATAGCCCTGTGATAGAGGTATTAGAAACTGAATAGATGTTGGTTAAATTGAATTTCATTCCTTTTATTTTTATAGCAACTCAACCAATGAGGGGACCAATGTAAAGAAATGCTGCAAGGGCTTCTGTATTGACATCCTGAAGAAGCTGTCTCGGAATGTGAAGTTCACCTATGACCTCTACCTGGTGACCAATGGGAAGCATGGGAAGAAAGTCAATAATGTGTGGAATGGAATGATTGGGGAAGTAAGTGAGGTTAGGTAAAAGCTCCTGTAAGGGAAGGTTTGGGATTTGAAATTCAAGACAATGAAAAATAAGCAGTGAGATGCTTTTCTTTTTCTTGCCCTGGCTCCAGGTGGTGTACCATCGAGCAGTCATGGCCGTGGGGTCTCTAACAATTAACGAGGAACGCTCAGAGGTGGTGGACTTTTCTGTTCCATTTGTGGAGACAGGAATCAGTGTCATGGTTTCCCGAAGTAATGGCACAGTATCTCCTTCTGCCTTTTTAGGTATGGACCCTGCTTTTTAAAATAATGCTTTGGGACTGTGATTGACCATCAGAAGAGAATCCTTGATAGGTTGCTTTGATTTTTAGGGATTGGGGGCTATTGACTGTTCTCTCAGGCCATAGATGTCTGTGATCATGTCTGTAGAGCAAAAATAGAAGCAGCTTTTATGGTGTCTGGATAATAACAATACTTCGTATTACTCCAGTTACCTGATAATGACCATCTTTTTTCACTCCTTCCTCTAGTGGATAAGAGATACAATTACACATTCAGACAATGACCTTGTGAGTTTATGGTAAAGTACAGTATTGCTTTGTAGAAGCATTACAGAAGAGATCATCTCCCCCCCCAATCCATTTGCAGCAACCAATAATTTACTCTTATGTCCTTGCATCCCTACTTCACATTTACTAGTATGATAGAAATTATTTCTTTCTCATGCAGGATAGATCACAAAAGGATAATATAGTTCCTTGTACTGTCCATGTGTTCCTTGCTTTTACCAAGAGGTATACTTTAAAAAATGTGTAAATTGAGCTATAATTTAAATATGTAGAAGAACCAGATATTTTAAGTTTTGTGCTCTTATAAAGGAAAGGATTGTTTTATAATATGAATTATCATCTTCCCCTTTTTTGTTTCATGAGTTTAAAGGTTTTTCTTTTTTTTAGGTGGGGGTGGTGTGAAAGCAAGGCATGTCTATGCTTTCTATTCCCTTATTTTCTAGGCATTGGGTCTGTGAGCCCAAGCTAATGTTTTCATCTGCAATAGCCAAAGCCATATAAGTCATAGCTGATCATTTTTTTGTTATGAGGTCAAAGAAAATGTTGTTATTTTAGCATGATGTTATCTTAAATGGTTTGCTAAGTGGAACTAGCCTAAGAGCAGTCTGAGGGAACTTTAAGGCCATGTTTCATTCTCAAGACCTTGAGATGAGACAGAATGGACTGTTCCTCCTAATTGCCTGCCTTCAAAAAAAGAGTAGAATCTTTCTTTGAGTTACTAAATGAAGACTATCAATGTAATGTTTCCAGTCTTTTGGCTGGAAACAAAGACATGAAATAGTCAAATTAAGCTCAAAGAGATAATAAAGATGTTGGGCAACCATTCAAGATTTACTAGAATCATGATTTTTTGCACATGTTTGAGTTTGGGGAATATTGAGGGAAAAGGACTGTTAGTTTCCTGCAGTTCACTAACATTAGGCAAAGTGTTTTTTGCTCAACAACCTTGGGTAAATCTGGAAAGAACCATAGAATCACCATGCTAATAATAGTAATAATAATGATAAAAACAATAAACTTATGTATAAAATATTTAGTGATTTAAGGTTTATAAGTTTCTTTATCTATGTATTGTATATTCCGTATTTACAAATATAGCCTTTTTCAGGGCTGCTAATCCACTTTTGGTATCCACCTGGCACTCAACTCTCACCTATGCATCTAAGAAGCTGTAGCATGTGTAGCAGCCACACCCTGGTAAATTCTCTTGGCAGACAGGCTAAACCAGGTTGAGGGCAACCAATGGGGCTCAAACTTATTTGTGAGTTAGGGGGATGTTTATCCCAAATATGTAAAGACTTCTCCCAGTTGAACTGGTGGATGAGAACAATATGTTCCAATGACCATGAAGGCAGTTGAAGCAGGCTCTGTGGTGCACTTAGAGCTTGGTCAGGCATTGAAGACATCAAAGTTATCCGCTGCATACTGGATCATTGCCAATTGTTTTGACTTTTGTCTGGACGTAGATGACTGGAAGAGAGAGTGAGGTTGACAATTGTGTGTATCTCTGCCTCACTTAAATCCAATTCACCCACAAATGAAGACATCGCCCTTTCATGTGATCAGCTCTCTTCAAAAATGAAAGACAAAAAACAACATTATGTATTATCTTTGATCTTAATAGACACAATGTAGTTATTATTATTCTCATTTTACAAATGAGAAAACTGAGGCAGATAAAAGTTAGGCGACTTGCCCTGGAACACACAGCTCCTAAGCATCTGAGGGAGGGTTCAAAGCCAGGTCTTTCTTATCCAAAATTCCACTTAGAGGTCAGCTATTGCAAATCTCCTTATTTAATTGATGAGGGAACTGATGCCCATTGAAGTTAATTGCTCAGAATCACATATGTAGTAAATAACAAGGCTGGGATTCAAACCCAAATGTGTGATTCCAAACACAGTCCACTTTCCATTGCACAACATTGCCTCTCTTCAAACACTTCAATTTTCTTCCTTCCCTTATACAGAGCATTAGCTTTAGGCAAGGCATAATCTGCTTCCTTTTCTTGAGTGAAATGTTGACTAGCAGAATTACAAGTGTGACTCTCCTCATGGAAACCAAAGGAATTACTGTTTTCATTTTCAGTAATCTATTAAGCTTTTGAAATCTATTCCAGTTACTGGATTTTGCTCAATATTCATTATTCCAGTGGTGTAATCTCTCTCTGTGGAAGACAGACCTTGAGAAGTGCCCAGTCACTCATGGTGTTTCTTTCTCCTGAATTTTAAAGTGGAAAAAAGATTTCTCTGTTTTAAATGAGAGGCCTTTCTTCTTCTATGAAAATAGAAAAATATTGAAAACAAGTCCCCAGACCAAGCCATTGTGGAATCAATAGTGAAAGGAGGGTTCTTTTATTGTTTTGTTTTTTTAATGATTCCTATCAATTATTCTCAGTTTTCATTAGGCCTTTGGAAGGAATTCAAGAAGGTGGGCCAGGGTCTGAGAAGTCCAAATGGGACATGCAGATAAATAAGCACTATCTATAGATTCATTGGATTATCAGATCATAGAATATTAAGATCATAGATCTACAGATGGAAAGGGGGACTGTGGCTATCTAGTTCAACACTCATTTTGAGGATAGGAAAAGTGAGAAAGATTAAGTGACTTGGCTGAGGTCAGAGAGGTAATAAGCCTCAGAGAGAGCATTTAGATGTAGGTCCTCTGATCCGTCTTGCTGAATTGTCCACTGTTTTTCTTCTATTCTCATAGCCAACAAGATACTACTTTTCAGTCTTTGCTTATTGAAATTCACTTTCCTCAAGTGAGAAGTGAAATAAATCTCAGCTGGCTTTTCTCATAAAAAAAGAATCAACAGTTTTGAACCTTGGCCCAACCTTCTTGCCCTGTTTATTAACTTTCCAGGAATGGTAACACATTACCATCAGAATGATGACCAAAATTCTGGCTTTGGACATTTGATTAAATTTATCAAAAACATACTTTTTACACTTTTCTTTTGTATCTTAAAAATACCTAGAAGGATGTTTCCCTTCAGGCTTTTTTACCCAACGTACCTAATATTATTTTTCTGGTCAGTAAATCGCACCCTTCTTCTACTTGCTATGTACCACCCTTATTAAGGATCATTATCTCCAGGTTTTGAATCTTGTAATGAAATGTGTCAGACTGTATTTTCCCATTCACTGGTGCAGTCATCTGGAAGAGCTGAATCATTCAGAATCTGATTACATTTTTCCTCATTATTTTCTCTGTTTTCCTACCCATTCCTACTTAAAAAAAGAAAAAAAAAACCTTTTACCAGTTCACTTCCTAAACCTTCACAAATAAAGTCACTCAGTTCACTAGAAAAGTTTAACCAAAGCTTCTCAAAATACTGGATTGGTGTCTCTGGTGACATTTCCAATTTTTTAAAAAAAGTTCCAAAAGTTTTGTCCCCAGGTTTCAGTAATAATGAGTCAAAGTATCTACCAGGGTCTGAATATCTTTCTCATATTAGGAGAGTTGAGGTGTGACCACACTTCTGGACCAGTAGAGAGCCATTTCAGGTCTCTCATCAGTAATCCTTTCAGTGTTCTTTCTGGGCTGTGACTATTTTCTCCCATCAGCAAGTGGGACAAGGCAGATGATTTTTTAAACCATTTTCTTAACATATTTCTTTTGTTCTGCAAGACAGCCATTGCTCCTAGCTTGTGGTGTCATAACTTTATTCAAATCTCTTTAGCTTTCTTTTGCCTTCTATCGGTCACTCATAATTCAAGGGTCAAATCCCATCACTTAACAAATGAATAATTTTAGCTGAGAGATGTTTCTAGGTCAGCAATTGGGGATTTAGGCTGAGTCTTCAACCTGCGGAAGAGATACAGGAGTGGCATGTGTAATAGGGATACTGAGGTAGGGCAACCCTATGGATAACAACAAATAGGGAAGAAGAAAGAGGAATTCAGGATTTAGAGCAGATCGATCTCCTCTTTTCTTTTGTCTGATGCAAGATTATAGATAAACCACTGAAATGGGGGGAAGTAGGTGAGAGAAGGATATTCTTTCCTATAGGTCTATAAAGAATATATTGTTTTACCCTGTCAAGGACATCTGGGGAGAATAGGACTACAAGAAAAGGTTTTGTTTATTTGTTTGGTTTTCTTTTTCACCTGGAGACATTCTAGTCCTTTTGGGACCCAGGAATACACAACTAACTGAATGAATTCTGACTTTACTGTGTCCCAGGAGCATTTCTGTGCCTCAAAGCTCTATCATGTCACTCTGGTGCCTGACTTGGAGATTTACCTCCATTTCTCCAGTCTAAAATTCAAAGCATTTTTTAAACTTCTAATTATGCTTTTATTTCTTCTTGCCTAATCCTTCTCCTGACCAAATTGTTATAGTTTCAGGAATATAATATTGTTTATTGCTCAAGCTAACTGCATTGCTCTCTGCTGCCCTTTTCACTCATTAGCCTTAACGAAGACAAATTTCAGTTGCAGCCTCATAGGACTCATGGAGATTTTCCTTTGTTACTTGAAGTTTTCTTACCTGTTAGTCTAGCTCTGTTTTCCCACTCATGCAGAAAGCCTACTCTAGTGTCATTCCTCCTTGGGACCTCAAACCAACCAGCCAATGCCCTTTGAAATACTTTGGGCTTCTTATTAACTTATTGCATATTGTGTACAGTAAACTGGGATTGGGAATAACCTTTAGTTATATGTGGTTTTCATTGAGTTTCATGAAATGTTAACCTGGTAGCAGACTGTAAGAATACATTTTTCTTTATGATGCTATGGGTATGATCAAAACAAAAAGGAAAAGATCCAAGATAATTAGAGATTTGACTGTTCCTCCTCTTCACCTTCCCCTACCTTTTCTTTTTCTCCTTTTCCAACAGAAAATATTTGCTTGTGATGGTTGCTTTTTTGATCAATTAATCAACCAATAAGCAATAACAACCTACTGTCTTAGACATTAGTCTCTGGAGGTATAAATATAATGAATGAAACAATGCTTGCTGGTGAGGAACTTTGAATGAGAAGAAACACCAAGGACACATGCACATATATTACACATTTATGTATTTTATGTATATACATATTATGTATGCATATATACATACATATACTCACACACATATATATGGGGAGGGAGAGAGAGAGAGAGAGAGAGAGAGAGAGAGAGAGAGAGAGA